TTTTTTGGTGAAGCTTAGCCCTGAGCTAACGTCTGCCGCCAGTTCTCCCTTTTGCTGAGGAAGATTGGCCTTGAGCTAACACCCATGCCCACCTTCCTCTACTTTATACGTGGGACACCTGCCACAGCATGGCTTGATAAGTAGTGCATATGTCTGCGCCCGGGATCCAAACCAGCAAACTCTGGGCCACCAAAGCAGAGCGTGTGTACTTAACCATTATGCCACCAGGCAGGCCTAGTACTTCATTTTTTTTTTATAGTCAAATAATATTCCACTGTATGGATCATACACATTTTGTTGTTCTGTTCATCAGTTGATGGCATTTGGATTGTGTCCATCTTTTGGCTCTTATGAATAATGCTGCTGTAAAGATTCATGTATGAGTTTTTGTTAGACATATGTTTTCATATTTCTTGGGTATATATATACCTAGAAGTGGAATTGTGGGTCATATAGTAACCCATATGTTTAATTATTAATTAATCTATGTTTAATTGCTTAAGAAACTACTAGACTGTTTTCTAAGGCAGCTGCACCATCTTACATTTCACCAGTGGTGTATGAGGGTTCCAGTTTTGCCACATCCTTGACAATACTTGTTTTTGTCTGACTATTTGATTCTTGCCATCCTAGTGAGCGACAAATGGTAACTTCGTTGTAGTTTTGATTTGCATTTACCTGTGCTTATTGGCCATTTGTATATCTTTCTTGGAGAAATGTGTGTTTAGACCCTTTGCCCATTTTTTAATCCAGTTGCTTGTTTTTTTTGTTGTTGAGTTGTAGTTCTTTATATATTCTGGATGTAAGTCCCTTATCAGATACGTGATTTGCAAATATCTTCTCCCATTCTCTGGGCTGCCTTTTCACCCTGTTGATGGTGTCCATTGGTGCGCAAAAGTTTTTAAGTTTGGTGAAGTTCAACGTACTAATTTTTCTTTGTGCCTCTGCTTTTGTTGTCACAACCAAGAAATAATTGCCAAATTCAGTGTCATGAAGCTTTTTCTCCTATGATTTCTTTCAAGAGTTTTAAAGTTTTAACTTTTTCGTTTAGGTCTGTGATCCATTTTGAGTTAATTTTTGTATATAGTGTAAAGTGAGGGTCCAACTTCATCTTTTTGGGGTGTGGATATGCAGTTTAACCAGCACTATTTGTTTAAAAGACTGTCATTTCCTTACTCAGAGTTCTTGGCACCCTTATTGAAAATCATTTGACCATATATGAGAGGGTTATTTCTGGGGTCCCTATTCTATTCCATTGGTCTCTATGTCTGTCTGTATGCCAATATCACACTGTTTTGGTTACTGTAGCTTTGTAGTAAGTTTTAAATTCAGGAAGTGTGAGACCTCCAACTTTTTTCTTCTTCAAGATTGTTTTGGCTATTTGTAGTCCCTTGAGATTCCATACGAATTTTAGGATGGAATTTTTATTTTTGCAAAAAAAATCACTGGGATTTTGATAGGCATTGCATTGAATTTAGTAGATCACTTTGGGTAGTATTGACGTCTTCCCTCCTTTTATCTTTTATTTTTGATGAGAAAGACCAGCCCTGAGTGAACATCTGTGCCATTCTTCCTCTATTTTGTATGTGGGAGATGCCACCACAGCATGGCTTGATGAGCAGTGCATAGATCTGCACCCGGGATCCGAACCTGCGACCCTGGGCCACCAAAGCCAGGTGTGCGGACTTAACCACTATGCCACCGGGCTGGCCCCCCTCCTTTTATCTTATTTGTTTTAATGTTATAACCACTTTACCACATTTTTCTGATTTATTTGGAAACGAGATTCTCAAAGTTTTAAAATTTATTATGTACCATCTTGAGCTTATACCATATCATTAGGTTTTTTAGGACTCTATCTAAATAATGAAGAGGCATATTTTCATGGCTGTTTTCTTTCTTTGTCTCCTTTCCTTCAGCAATTTTTTTCACTTTTGCCCCTCCTAGACTTACTATATTCTCTACTTTCTCTTAACAGTCTGTCAATTAAAAAAATGTTGATTATTATTGCCAAATATAGGAACATGGGTGGGCTGAAGGTCAGATAAATTAAAATAATTTGGATTAAACCCCAAAGAGGAGATAAAGGGGAAGATGCAAATAATTAGAGAGTATAGGAGGAGGGAATTATCGTTATTGTTCTTGGATAGATGAGTACCATATTTCAGTTGTGTTGAGGAATCATTCAGAGTTAATTGGTGAGACTATACTCTATTTAAGTCAAACACTATGTAAATGCAAATTCAGCAGCATCCATGGAACATTGATTTAAAAAACAGAAATATCTTCCATGTACAGAATATTTTACTTGAAATGACTATATTCCCTGGTCAATTAGGAACTGATTTTTGTGTGTGTGTGAGGAAGATTGGCCCTGAGCTAACATATGTTGCCAATCTTCCTCTTTTTGCTTGAGGAAGATTGTCCCTGAGCTAACTTCTGTGCCAATCTTCCTCTATTTTATATGTGGGATGCTGCCACAGCATGGCTTGATGTATGTCTGCGCCTGGGATCTGAACCTACGAACCCCGGGCTCCTGAAGCAAAGTGCGTGAACTTAACTACTATGCCACTGGGCCAGCCCCAGTTATGAACTGATTTTTAATAAGTGTTTTTATAGTAATATATCATATGAAGACACAGTTATATATAGAAGTGTATATTCTGCTCCTACTAATATATTTTAGAACATAAATACCTATTAGGTATTTATGTTCTCTTGGAGAGGTACCTTAAGTCAATTGGGTATATTTATTCCAGATGAAATTTAAGTTTTCTTCTGATTCTCTATTCTTCTTCAAAGGCTATGTTCAAAATATACCCTTTCTGTGTTAAAGATGGTTTTCCTAAGTGAGAGAGGCTCACTATGTACCAGGTACTGTTCAGTTTTATAGTCAGATCAACCTATGTTTGATTCCTCATTCTCTCTCATAATAGCTATGGGGTTTTGGTTAAGTTATTTAGTCTCTCTTAGCCTCGGTTTTTTAATCTGTCAAGTGAGAATGACAGTTCCCATGTTGGAGGGATATTCGGATGAGAGATGACTTAAAGGTTTTATTAATACTTAGCACGTAGTTGGTTACTATCATGAAAAAGATTAGTGACCTCTTCTGATATTTTTCAAAATGTAATATGTTATAGTTGAGATAAAGGTCTGAAGTTAAAATAATAATTTGTAAGTCAGGGCAGTTCACTAAATAGACCACCTGAAAGAATAGAAATATATACAAAGATTAATATTGAGAAAAAGAAGTTAAAAGAAGCTAATGTGCTCTGAGAAATACCTTACTAAAAATAATGTTTTCTATCTGATTCTATCAATAATGACATTTTAGAAATTTTCTTCCATTCACATTCTGTTTCTTTTCTTTTTCTAGTTTTTTAAGGTGGAAGTTGACATCACTGATTTGAGGCCTTTCTTGTTTTCTAGTATAGGTATTTAGTGTTATAATTGTCCATCTGAGTTCTGCTTTAGCTACATCCCACAAATTCTCATACATTGTATTTTTGTTTTATTGCATTTCAAAATATTTTCTAATTTTCTTTTTAAATTTTTTGTTGATCCATGGGTTATTTGGAAATGTGGTATTTCATTTCCAAATACTTGGCAGTTTTCCAAATATATTTCTGCTATGACTTCTGGTTTAATTCCATTGTGTTCAGTGCACATATGTTATGTTACTTGAATGTTTTTTGAGACTTGTGTTATATCCAAGAATGTCATCTATTTGGTAAGTGTTCTATGTACACTTGAGAAGAATGTGTATTCTGCTGACGTTGGTTAGAATATCTGTCAGTGTCAGCTCAGGTTGGTTGATAGTTTAAGTCTTCTGTATGCCTATTGATTTTCTACTTGTTCTATCAATTTTTAGAGAGTGATAATTAAATGTCTGACTACAGTTGTGGATTTGTCTATTTCTCCTGCAGTTCTGTCAACTTTTGCTTCATATATTTTGAAACTATTATTAGATACATAAAATTTAAGATTTTATTTCCTGTTGATGATTTGACTTTTATCATTATGAAATGACCTCCTTTATTCTTCCTAATACTCTTTGCTTTGAGATCTACTTCAACTGACGTGAATAGAGCCACTCCAGCTTTCTTCAAATCTTTTAAAATGTCTGCTAAGATCTAACAATCTTGTTATTGCTTTGTATTTGATAATAAAGAAAAATAGTTATCTTTTTGGTCCTTAGTAGACTAAGTAGAACTTAGAACTTAGTCTAATGGAAGAAAAACACAGGTTAATGAGCAATTATACAGTGTGGTCATCATGAGACTGATGGGAGTACAGTACTGGAGGAGCTTGGAAGATGTAGGAAAGTTCTTTCATGGAGGTGACAACTAAATCTAAGCCTCAGATTGAAAAATGAGTTGGAGTAGAAAGGCAAAATTGGAGGCAAAATTAGTCAGAGAACAGTATGTGCAAAGCATGAAGATAACAGTAGTTTTGGGGACTGAAACTAGGGTGGCTCGAGCATAGAGTTTGAGTAGGGTTGTGATCAGGTGTAATTGGAGAGTTCATCAATGCCAGATGATGAAGAGAATTGTAATAGTAATTAACAGTGGCTCACATTTGTGAGTGCTTACTGTGTGATTGAGATAACCCTATTAGATAATATTGTTCTAACCATTGTAAAATGAGGAAATTAAGTATAGAGAGAACACAGAGAGATTAAATAACTTGCCCGAGGTTATACAGACAGGAGCTGGAATTTTACTGTGTCATCCTGACTGTAGAATGCAAGCTTTTAACCACTGTGCCTTTCTGTGTCTATGATGTAGTAGGCCAGACTAGAGTTTGAACTTGATCCTGTTCACAATGTGGAACTCTTTAAGGATTTTAAGCAGGGACATAAATAAAATAAGGAAATACTGTTTGTATTTTCTGTTTTTAAAAGCATCGCCCTGCCTACAGGTATGACTTAGTATACTACAGTACAATAAAATCTTTACTACTGCCTTCTACTCCCCACTACTCTTATTTTGGTTTTTCAGTTTATGGGAAAAACAGATGGAGACTATTATACTCTGGATGACATGTTCGTCTCCAAAGCAGCTGAGAGAGAACGTTTTGGTGAAGAGGAAGAGAATCAGAGGAAAAAAGCTATTGCTGAGCACCAGAGTCTTGCTGCACAAATGGAAAAGTGTCTGTATTGTTTTGACAGCTCTCAGTTTCCCAAGCACCTTATTGTTGCAATAGGTGTTAAGGTAAGAAATATAACATTTATTGCCCTAAAAAAGTGATTTAGTGGTATATGTGGATTTGCCTCTTCATACTCTTAATATGATTCCTAAGGAATCTGTCTTCTCTTATTCTGTGTTTCAAATATTTTTCTTTCCTAAGTTCCCATGATTCTTAGAATCTTCTTTAGAGTGAGTATAAATATTTAAATGACATGAAGCTCACATTTTGCATGATTCTACTTTTTAGAGAGCATTGGTTAGTGGTTAAGGCCCTGGATTTTGGAGCCAGACTAGCTGGATTCAAATTCTGGCTCTGCCATTTACCAGCTATGTGACCTTATTTTCATGACAGCACCTGATTCTCAGTATTAAAATCACTTCAAAGATACTCAATCTAAAGTAGCTTCTGCTTCTTTCCTTACTTTCTCATAGAACCTATTTGTTTTTCATAGAATAGCTCGTAATTTGAAGAAGTTTATTGTATTTTGTTTTACTTGTTTATTGGGTCTCTGTCCCAATAGTCTGTATGTTCCATGAGGACATAGATAACTTACTCATCATGGTATACCAAGCATCTGTTCTGTTGTATACCAAGCATGTATGTTCACAGTCACTTATTTCAATAAATATCAATTATAGCTTATTTAATAGTCACTAGTAATAGTCATTTATTTCAATAAATATTTGGTGATTTAATTCTTATATTAAGTAAATAATTATTGTGTACCTGATATATACTGGACCCTAGTTAGTCACTAGGGAAAAGTAGAGACTCAGGTATGTGTGGAACTTGTATTTTAGTGAAATAGGGCAGAAAGTAAACAAGGTAGTAATTGTTCTGATTTAAGAAAGTGTTAATGTCATAAAGCAAATAAAGTGAGGAAATGGGATAAAATGATGGGAGAGTATTTTTTGAAAAGGTAGTCTAGAAGGCTTCTCTGAGGAGGTGTTTTAGTAAAGATATGAAAGATGGAAGGGATATGCAACATGAAGATATGAATGAATAATGTTTTAGGAAGGGGCATCAGTGAATGAAAAGCCTTGAGGAAGAAGTGAGCTTTAGCATTCATGGAACAGAAAGACCAGTGTAGCTGAAGTGGAGTGAGTGAGAAAAGTGATAGGAGAGAAAGTTGAGTGAATGAATGCTAGTTTCAGGAACTACTAGTTTGAGGAATATACATATATATATTTATTTATTTGTTGTGTATGCAAACACACACAATCATGCGTACACACACTTTTGTATCCAAAGAATTGGCTTTTCCATTCTAATTCTAGTCTTTAATATCTTTAGGTCATTGAGACAGTCAGTTTATCAGTTTGAATTTTGGTTTCTTTGACTTTATTTCCTTACCCTTCTTTTTCTTCTCCTTTCTTTCCCTTCATACTTTAGCAAAAAGGTAATGTAAAAATTCTGTTCAAAATTTAATCAATTAAGGAAAAAATACACACCTTAACCAGTTATTTGTATTTTTCTCCATTCTTTTCCAGACCTTTACATAAGCATTTACATTTTTATAATTCTGACGTTATGTATAAATATTTCATTCTCCTTTAGTCTTATCCTACCTTTAAGAAATGTAAAAATAAATGTGAAGTAATACTTAAATTTCTCCTACAATGCCTTAGGAGAAGTTTGGATTATTTTCAATGACTTCATTGTCTTTAGTGCTCTGAAGAAGACAGGCTGGGTCCAGGGAGGCACAGAGGTGTTAAGTGTATAAACCTTTTGTTAGCCTGCTGCTTTATAGGCTGCGTCCCAAAGTTGGCATTTCTCAATTCACTGGCCACAGGAAACCATTAGTCAATAATAGACATTTCTGTTTCTGCAACTGGTACTACTCTCATACATTCCTTTTCCCTTCCCAGTTTTCCTCTTCTGCTGTGAGGTAATCTACGTTTTCCAATTAGTCATTTCTTTTTTTTTTTTTTTTTTCAAGGAAGATTAGCCCTGAGCTAACTGCCACCAATCCTCCTCTTTTTGCTGAGGAAGCCTGGCCCTGAGCTAACATCTGTGCCCATCTTCCTCTACTTTATGTGTGGGACGCCTACCACAGCATGGGTTGTCAAGTGGTGCCATGTCTGCACCCGGCATCTGAACCGGCGAACCCTGGGCCACTAAAGTGGAACGTGTGCACTTAACCTCTGTGCCACTGGGGCAGCCCCTCCAATTAGTCATTTCTAATGGTATTAAATTCTTCTCTTTGCCCTCAACTTACTGAGAGTTGGCTGATCTCTTTCTTCCCTCTTGAACTCGTCTTTTTGTTCTGGATTCATTTTGAAACCATTTGAGTCTCTCCTTTCTCCACCTATGCTTTAATATGCTATCTTTGCTGTAGAAACTACCATCTGCCATCAGCCTTTCATCTGTGAATATTTTAATATAGAAATATTTGAAATATTGATTACAAGGAATTCATCAATTTCCAACAATATCTGAATGCCTGTCCCATCCATTGTAGCTAATAGGTTATTTTATTAATCTGAATAAACAATAACAGATTATTCCTTTTAGTTATTACCTAAGTTAATCATATGATTATGAGTTTCTAGGGAATTATTTTGCTGTTGAATGGAAATAATAAGCAATATTTCAAAGCAATTCAGTAATTCTTACTCAGCTTGAATTTCTAATATTTAAAGTTAATATCTTAAATCCAAATGTGTTAATGAAACTATATTAGTAGTCATTGGAGTCAGACAGTTAATTGGGGCCGGCCTGATAGCGTCGTGGTTAAGTTCATGTGCTCTACTTTGGCACCCTGTGGTTTGCGAGTTCAGATCCCAGGTACAGAACTACACCTGCCTTATCAAGCCATGCTGTGGTGGTGCCCCACGTACAAAATGGGGGAAGACTGGCACAGATGTTACCTCAGCGACAATCTTCCTCAAGCAAAAAGAGGAAGATTGGCAACAGATGGTAACTCAGAGCCAATCTTCCTCACACACAAAAAAGAAAAAAAGAAGAGACAGTTAAACAACTTTGTAAGTTTCTAGTCATCAGCTATGCCTGCCTTCTCCCTCCTTTTTAAAATAAAAGTCATCTATCCACCTCCTTGTCTTAACACTGTGCTTTTTTGAAAAAAAGACTTTTTTAGAACAGTTTTAGATTTATAGGAAAATTGAGAATGCAGTTCCATATACCCCACACACAGTTTCCTCTATTCTTAGCATCTTACATTAGTCTAGTAAGTTTGTTACTATTTATGAATCAGTACTGATACTGTTTTTAATTGTGTATATGATTGTGATTTTACTGTAAATTTAGGTAAATATCCATATCGACTCCTACTTTGTCCTCTCTCAGTGAAATTTAAAAAATTTGCATTGTTTTGTTAAATAAATAAATATTGTCTGCCGTTAAATTTTCTCTAGCTAAAACCTTACAAAAAATAATAGAAAACAAGATTAAGCCTCTTTGCAGAATATTATTTATGCTTCTCATGAACACTCTTTGCTCACAACATACATACTAATTGGCCTTTTTTTTAAGACAGTTTATATATAATGGAGAAACAGCACCAGCTTATAGGTAATACATATGTATAAATAAACAGAACTTAACCAGAGCAGTAAAGCCATAGAGAGGTCATTTTCTTTCTCTCTTAATTAGGTTAATTCTATTTGCTCAGCCAGTAGCAAAAGGAAGGCCCAATTAATAGGCATATCTATCATTACCAGGCCATGTATCTTTTTATTCTTGCAAAAATTGTGTTATTTCAAGGTCTTTGAAAGCATTTAGCTTCCGCAGATTGAGGATAAAGTTCCATTCATTCTGCCCTTAGGTAAACTTAATCTTTGTGTGATTAAACAGTTAAACATTAAGACTTACACTCTAAATGCCTAATTTATTAAAAGCTCTCTTCACGGCTTTTTAAAGTCTAAAAATATTAAATATCTATGAATATTAAAATAAAATATGTTGCTTATAAGCAAGTATACTTTATTAAATGTTAGGTGAGCCCTACTAGGGGCTCATCTGTCACAATTGAGAATAAAAGGTAGTAACATTTCATCTTTGGACTTTTTTCCCCCAGGTTTATTTATGTTTACCCAACTGTCGGTCTCTTACTGAGGGGCACTGCCTGATAGTCCCTTTGCAGCACCATAGAGCAGCTACCTTATTGGACGAAGACATCTGGGAGGAAATTCAGGTCAGCATGATAATGCTCATTATCATTGGAATGCTCATGAGCAACTTGTGCAAACTATGGTGATAAATTCTAACAAGTTTTATATGTTCATATGGTGGATGCCAGTGCAGTAAATAATTTAAAGAGGAAACTATGCAAATTTGGTTTTCAGAATTATTTTGGGACTTTTCTGGAATGCCTTTTAAAAATTTATACATGCAAAACTGATTTAACTTAGAGCAAAATACAGTGCCAAAAAGATTCTAAGTAATACAGAAATCTAGTCTGTTTTATATTTTTGTAAGACATTAAGCTACTTGATGAAAAACATTGATAGATGAAGAAGAAACTTATTCATTTCAACAGATACTGAGTACATGAATATAAGGTATTACAGGTGCTGTGAGAAATGGAGAGATAAAATCATTCATTGATTTTGGCCAAAGGTAGTGTAGATTCTAGTACAGCTTGTATTATAGTTTAGCAGATTTTGTAAGCCAGCTGCATTATGGAAAATTGAATGAGGGAGGAAAAGCCAAATTGTTTTGTGCAAATAATGGTATTATGGCTCTTTTTGTGAGATAAAAGAAAAAGTTGTAGAAGTTGTAAATTATTGTAAGATATCAAGTGAATAAATATCTGAATTCTAGCTTATTTTAAAAAATATAGCTTTTTGGATATTTGTTTTTACTTTCAAATATGTACAAAAACTCAAATTAATTATGGCCTGATGAATATCCTTATGGTCATTCATCTCTTTTATAGAATATATACAAAAAATGATTTGACTTAGCAAAAAATATTGTTTGCAAATGCAGGAGCCACTTCTTTCAAGTGGTCTATCACCATCCTTTAGTAACATTTAATTTTAGACCTTATATTTGATAGAAAATGCCAAGATAAGTTTCAGCAGAGCATATGGGAATAATCACAAATTTTGAATGAATATTATCCATATTTTTAGTTTTATTAAATATGTAGTGAAACTTGGTCTCCTTTAAATTTATTCTCATCAGTTTGACAAATGTGCTTGAACATATGTCATAGTCAGACACTGTAGGTCGATTTTTTAAATATCCCAAATCGGCGATGTGGTGGTAGGTTTGTTGATGCCCATCTAAGTGGGCTTCACTATGGAATGATGTATATATAGGGACATTTCATTGGGAAACTTCTGGTGTTGGTACCTTTTCTTGGTGTTAGTCAGATCCTCCAGAAAAGTCTTTCAATCTCTTGCCTAGAGCATCTAAGTCTCCTTGCCAGAGTTCTGGGAGCTGTGTCAGGGAAGACGGCTGGAGGGCAGAATGTTGAATATTTAAGAACGTTAAGTAACATTTCCTATAATGCCCCTGTTTTCCGACTGTATGCCCTCAGCTGTGTCTGGTTTTCTGAGTCCAGTAACTTTATCCTTTACCTTCTCCCAAGGATAATCCTGTAGTGTTCTGCTGGTGTGGAGCAGGGCATCTGGCATGTCAGTTGCTTTTTTTCCAAAAGACTTTCATCTCTTTCACCACAACTTCACCTCTCCTTCCATAAGGACTTGGTGCTGCTGATTCCTGAGCCTTTTGAGAAGTGTGCAGTGCAACATGGCTTTATCCTTTACTATCCCTGCTAGCCCCTCCCCCACACCACCCAGGTATGAGCCAGCTGTCTAGTGTTTAAGTCAGATATTGCAGGGTGATCTGATTTTCATTGTTTCGTCTCTCATTCTGGTTGTTCCAGTTGGTTTGTACTGTTTTAAAAATTAGTGTCAGTTTTGAGGGGTCAATCCATGAAGGGTATAGAGGTAAATGCGTATATTCTATCCTATCTCATAACATTTATCTTTGGATAACTTTATCTTTAGATATATTCTTTTTAGAAATCTTGAATAAATTATAGTATTAATATTACATGGTCAGCCCTAAATAGCTTGATTTTTTTTTTTTTTTTAAAGATTTTATTATTTCCTTTTTCTCCCCAAAGCCCCCCGGTACATAGTTGTATATTCTTCGTTGTGGGTTCTTCTAGTTGTGGCATGTGGGACGCTGCCTCAGCATGGTCTGATGAGCAGTGCCATGTCCGCGCCCAGGATTCGAACCAACGAAACACTGGGATGCCTGCAGCGGAGCGCGCGAACTTAACCACTCGGCCATGGGGCCAGCCCGTAAATAGCTTGATTTTTTAAGGAAAATACCTAATTTTCATTTCAGTTTTTTCTTTTCTTTTTTTTTTTTGGTGATGAAGATTGGCCCTGAGCTAAATCTGTTGCCGATCTTCCTCTTTTTGCTTGAGGAAGATTGTCCCTGAGCTGACATGTGTGCCAATGTTCCTCTGTTTTGTATGTGAGACACTGCCACAGTGTGGCTTGATGAGCAGTATATAGGTCTGTGCCTGGGCTCTGAACCCATTAACCCTGGGCTGCCAAAGCAGAGCATGCAAATGTAACCTCTACACCACCAGGCTGGCCCCTGAAAACTTTTTACTCATAATTACCTGATTTTTTTGTAATGTGACTTGATACAAATTAAGAATTGCAACAATCTATAGTGTAGCTTACTTATTTATATTGTAAAGAATTTTAGTCCAGATGTGTTAACTAAATGAGGAATGGCCATTAGGTGAGTAATCATACTTTAGAAATATGGAAAATAGTGATTACCCAGAGGATGAAGTGTTTTTTATTTGGAATATGGGAATTTTATATCATCCTCATAACATGGGATCTCTGTATCTCTCTGAAGCATAAAACAGTTTTGGTGTATTATGATAATGAACTAAAAAGCTTTATTGTTTAGTAGTCATATAACTTTTAAAAAATGAGTGTTATTTAAATATGTATAGTGTATTTGTTATATTGAGCTGGGGGCAAATCTTGCTTTAATGGAATTGATAATCTCAAATTAGACCATTAAACTCATATTTTAAAATTAAAGTCTTTTGTATACATAGAGGAGAAGAAATACTTAGATGTGTCTGTGTTCTCCTTGAAGCTATTAGTATAATGTTTATATATTTTATAATAGTGAAATTTTTACATCACTACTAATTTAGTACTTTGGAATTTTCATTTATATCATTTATATTATATATTGGAATTACATTTTCATCTAGAATAATCATCCAATGGTTAAACCAGGAAAGGGTCATGAACAAACCTGAAGTAAGGAAATTTATGAGATAATCTTTGGATTATCTAAATTTTTATTATTGTTGGCAGCTGCTTTGTATCCACTTTTTCTCTTCCTCAGAAAAGTTTGGTTTTCAAAGATATAGTTCCACTCTAGTAGTGATTTTCCTTTTTCTAGTATATAGAATTGTCTGCTCCCCACAAAACTAGATAATGAAATAAATAATTGAAAATATTCATAATAAATAAAAATTTACAAACAGTAAGAAAATAGAGACCATCTAAAAACTATGTTATTAAACCAAATTTGTATATTTTCCCATTTGGTTTTGTGTTTCAATTTGTGATACTAGGCGTGTAAAGATAACTATCTGGGACATACAGTTGAGTAGATTGGAAAAGAGGGGTTAACGGTTGTCACTTTCTGGTTCATCTGCAGCTTTAGTCGTATCATTGATGTCTGTGAATTGTCCATATTATTATTCTTCACTGTTGTTGCAAACAAAACTTAACTCACAGTAGCTTGAGACAGCAAAAGTTAATGTCTTATATCGTAGTCCGATGTAGGCTGGGCAATTCTTCAAGACAGTTTGCCTCCGAGCAGTGATTCAGGTATGCAGCCTCCTTCCATGGTAAGGAGTCCTTCTCTTTCAGCCCCTTGGATGGAAGAAAGTGAACATAAGAAAGCACACTACCTCTTAACTGCTTTAACACACAAGTGACACATATCATTTCTACATGCATTACCCAGAACTAAACTTGGCCCCACCTAAGTCTGAGAAAGGCTGGGAAATTTAGTCTCCTTGTACACCCAGGAAGAGGAAAATGAAACTTTCGTAAACACAGCCTTTTTTGGGAAGAGTTTTTATCTGCAGAAATCGGACTGGGGACATGGCAGCTTTAAAATTTGAATGATCAATTTTACTGTATAGATATCTATAACAATATTTTATGTTTTATTTTTTATTGTAATTTAGCCTCAATTGTATGTGCACTTGAATGGTCAATTTTACCATGTAAATATCTATAACAATATTTTATCTTTTATTTTTATCATAATTTAGCCTCAGTTCTATATACACTATCTCCATTAATGTGATTTTATAATGTATAATACCAAAATCAGGGAATTTTAAAAAGGAGAATCAGTTATCTATAATCATCTATAATGATTTATCTAACAATGACTTATATAGTCATATGTCACTTAATGACAGGGATACATTCTGAGAATGTGTCATTAGGTGATTTCATTGTTGTGAGAACATCATAGAATATACTAATACAAACCTAGATGGTATAGCCTCCTACACACTTAGGCTATATGCTACTAATCTTATGGGATCACTGTCGTATATGTGGTCTCTTGTTGACCAAAAAGTCGTTATGCGGTGTCTGACTGTAATGAGATTATGGGTGTAAAGTCTGCAACCCCTTAAGCTGTTAGCCAAGACTTTGAGTTTAACAACAAATTGAGTGTCTAAAGAGCCTATGCTGAATTTATAAATAGCTGTGGTGAGAAATGAAAAGCGAATTTCGTATCTTTTGCTTACTAGGTACCTTTCTAGTTCACTCAAAGTATAATTATTTAATGTTTTTTTTTTTTTACTTGCTCTTATTTTATAAGATGAGTGAAAAATAGAAAAGATGAGGGACCAGTAATAAGTGATCAGTGGAGGCCTGGTGGGAGCCCAGAACTCACATCATCTACCTAGCAGTAATAAGCATCCCCTTTTGGGGTATCAACAGAGGCTGAGTGGGGAATCTGAACGTCCAATTCCACATGGCAATTTCTTAACAAAAACTTGATTAAATCTCCAGGAAATTATGCTAAGTGGAATATACCAACCCCAAAAGACTGCATGATTCCATTTATGTAACATTCTTGAAATGACAAAATTAAAGAAATAGAGAACAGATTGGTAGTTGTCAGGGGCTAAGAAATGGGAGTGAGAGTGAATGTGTTTATAAAGGGGCAGCAGGAGGGATCCTTGTAGTGTTGGAATTGCTCTGTATCTTGATTGTATCAATATTAATATCCTGGTTGTGATGTTGTGCTGTGGTTTTGTAAGATGTTACCATTAGAGGAAACTGGGTTAAGGGTACATAGATTTCTCACTACTATTTCTACATGTGATCTATAATCATAATAAAAAAGTTTAAGTAAAATGTTAAAAAGTTATAAATCAAGCTGATAAATCTAAATAAAAATGTTTCACCCTCCTATTTAGACAAATATACTTGAATAACACTCTCCAAGGCCAAGCTCGAATTTAGAATTCTCAGATACTTTGGAGGTCAACACATGGTGGTGTGGGGAGAGTTGCTTTTGGTCCCTACCCTGCAGCCTGCTCCTTTTTCTTCTAACCCTTAGCTTCATCCTATACTACAGTTTATCCTGTGAATACATGTGAACATCCTGGACTGCATGTCTAAGCTCCATCCAACCACCTTCTATAAATAGCAGTCCCTCAGGCCTAGGAGTGTGAAGTAAATAAGTAAAGTAGTAAAAAATAGTAAACAGAAAAGGAGGGGGAGGATTTTATAATAATGTTGAGCTCTTTGGGAAAACAGTCTTACTTTCAACTTTAGTACAGTTAATTTTCATAAACTTGGTAGGACTGGATTATATGTGAAAATAGGAGACTGCTTGACTATACAAGGTTAGAAGTGAAGGGTCAGCAGAGACATGTAAGGGAACCAGCAAATGAAGATGCTGTAAGCCTAGGGAAACAATTGAAAGTGAATTCCACTTGTCTGTTACTGAGTTTAAGGATGCCTGCTTGCTCAGAGTACCTTTTTTGGCTTCTGGATGTTTTCCTATGATTTTATTGTCAGTTCTGCATGTTTTGAAAATCAACCTAAATTTGATTTCCTTTTCTTATTTTAGTTTTCTGGAACCGTTTCCAGTATATACGTAAAACTGTGTAGAGTGAGTTTCACTTTAAAAAAAAATATTGCTCAAATATGTGAAATTAGATAGTGAATTTAGAAAGTAAAAGTAATTATAAATTAACATTACAAAGTTTAGATATGGCTTACTATTTGTTTTTTATTTTAAAGGGATTTATTGTACTTTTATTATTTTCATATTTTGAATCTCCTCTAAGTGGTTTATTTACCTAGCCATTTTCTTTCTTCAGATGTTCAGAAAATCATTGGTAAAGATGTTTGAAGATAAAGGTTTGGACTGCATCTTTTTAGAAACTAATATGAACATGAAGAAACAGTATCATATGGTTTATGAATGCATTCCTCTCCCAAAGGAAGTGGGTGATATGGCTCCTATCTATTTTAAGGTATTTATGGATAGTCTTTACATGTGTACTTATTATTTTGCTACACTGCTGTTCTATGAATACAGTTACCTTAATTCTTATATTTTTTCTCCCATATACTTATATTCAATTTTATATCATGTAAAGAGATTAAGTAAAGCACAAAAAGTTCTCTGTATAAATTTCTTTAGAAAGAAATTTGGGATTTGACCTTTAAAAAGCATGCTTATTTATAAGTATGAACATACTATCAAGTGGTAATTTACAGTTTCTATTTTAATTTCTCATTTCTCAAATAAAAAATCAAGGTTTTGCCTTCAAGTCCTTTCAAGTCAAAATTATAGTCATAACTCTAGAAAACTTACTGAAATTCACAAGAGTCGAAGATAATACATACAAACAGTACAAACTACAATTGTTGAGACAAGATATTGCTGTAAGTTCTGGTATTTAATACCTCATCATGCTATTTGTAAAAGGAAACTAATATTTCACCTTGACTTACGTTTTTGGACAATGAATGACTAGAGTTCTTAATTGTGTCATTATAGTATTCAGGCAGCTTTTACTAAATAGCATATGTTTGATGCTGACCTGAATATAATATAATTTATAGACTAATATAAATGTATAAATGTAGAATCATATATGAAATATAACATGTGCAATGAAAAAAGAAGGTAATGTTTTGTGAGGTAGTATGGGAATCTTGCAAATGCAACATTTAGGCAGTATAAGATGGTAAAGTTTATTAACATGGACTGTCAATCCCAACAATAGTGAGGTGGTGAAAACTTTACTTTCTTTCTCTAGAAATTTTTAAAAACAATCTAATTATTTGATTTGAAGAATGGTATTAAAAAGATAATCCCAGACCCATGCTATTCTTATGTTAAACAAAATCAGTTGAGAAAGAGATTATTATATTTTTATTCAATCTTGTTTTTTATTCCCTCAGTAGAGCCTTAGATGATTGTGACTATAGGCATTGAGGTATAGGGCACAACATAGAGCAGTCACTGTTGCTTATGTTGGATGACAGAAATGTCATCTCTTAGCAGAATGGTGTGTCACTTTTCTACACTAAACCTTTTATATGCTCATTAAAGATACATTTATTTGGTTTGGCTTTGATTTTATAGTGACTGTGCTACATTATAGTGTCAATACAAGTAACCTATGCCTTTTAAGTAGGGAACAGCAGTATATCTGATGTATTTAAATTGTGCTTATTTAAATGGTAATTTCATTTTCAAATTTGCTTCCTTAATAAAGATACTGTACAAAAATGATTATTTTATACTTGTCACCCTAGTTTTTCTTTCTGTTAAATATTTCTTTACCGTAATACAGTCATACTGCTTAGCCTAGAAGGTCTCCTAATTCCATTTCTATGTATTTTTTCCCCTGCATTGTTATTACTTTTTTGTATGTCTAGAAATAGTTCAAGTACTTGGTTGCTAGCATATAAATTACTCTCTGACATTTGGAAGAAGAGCAGTAAAACAAAATGAATTTGTTTGAGTAGATTTCTATGAATGGATTAAGGAATTTGTGAACTTTTCTGTTCACAAATTATGTTCAATATTAAATTACTTGGTCTTACCGATGGTTGTTTTTGTCATGTAAAGTTGAGCTGAAATTAAGTACAGGAGTTCAGAATGAGTAAAACAGTAATATCTTGGCTAAAGATAGGACTTTAAAAAAATCAAGAACGTCCAATTTTAAATAACAGAAATTGAAGCTTTAATCCATTCAAAATAATGACCTGCCATGTATAATATGCCCTGTAATTAATTCATTGCATTACTTTAATTTTAAACTGTCTCTTTGTATTTGCTTATTTATATTTTTTCATTAACAAATGGCTCTTTGTTAGAAAGCCATAATGGAATCTGATGAAGAGTGGTCTATGAACAAGAAATTGATTGATCTCTCTTCAAAAGATATCAGAAAGTCTGTAAGTATCATTTTTTGTCCTAATATAAGAAATTACCATAGTATTTAGGATTGTCATTAATTTCCGCATCTTATTTGAAAAAGAGACCATTTGGCTGAGTAAACCAAAGGTGAAGTAACTAATTCTACAAATAAAGAAGAAATTATTTTCATCTTATCTGGTCTAGCAAATGCTTATTTGTTTAATTGCTTATTTGAATATTTGTTTATTCCTGACCTGGCCCTCCGCCACTGTAGTCGCGTAATTGGCTGTGACAGCCATCAGACTGTGCCATGAGAGCTCCTCTCATCGACCTCTCAGCCTCTGTGGGACAAGTGGTGAGAGGGGCCTATTTGTTACTGGAATTATAATGAGAGAAACATTTTCCTAGAGGCTCTATTGTGAATTTTGAATTTTTTTTTTCTTATACAAAAGTTACCTGTTATGTTCTTTTAAAACAGTAGTTGAGTTAGCTTATGGGTTCATTATTCTTTTAAGGACTTTCCTGATCATGTTTCATAGTTTAATCTTAATTTGCAGATCAGCTTTTAGATAAAAGTTACTCGTAAGTTGAGTACTTCTGTGATGACTTCTCTCTTTTCTAGAAATATAAATTAAATGGAATAGAGATATAATAGAATTGTGGGTTTCTTTTTGTTTTTCTATTCAAAAAGTAATCTATTCTACAAATGTTTATTGAATGCATACTATTTACCAGGTACTGTTCTAGGTGCTTTTTATACATGGTGGAACAAAACAGAGATGATCTCTCTGACTTTATGGAGCTTATATTGTAGTGCAGGGGTTGGGAACTCCAGCCTGTGTGCTAAATCCAGCCTGCTGCCTGTTTGTGTAAACAAAGTTTCGTTAGAACACATTTACACCCATTCGTCTATGTATTGTCTTTTGGTGCTTTTATGCTGCAAAAGCAGAGTTGAGAGTTTCAACAGAGACTATATGATCTGCAAAGCCCAAAATATTGTATTTAAATTGAAACTCTTATAAGTTTTCATAAGCTTTTTTAAGTTTCCCAACCCCTGTTCTAATAGATGTCACTAGAATATTTCTCTCCCATTTCTTCTTTTGGAAAGCTAGATTCCTGATCCATGTGACTGATAGGATTCCTTATTACATTTATTATATCCCAGTTAAAAGATTCAAATTTCATTGCATTATTGAAGATAGTTTTAATTCAAAGGTAAAAACACATGTACAGTCTTTTTCTTTCCCTTGCCGGTGAATTGGGCCAGACAATATATTAAAAAACAAAATAAAAAACAACCCCCCTCCAAATGTCCTGTTTACTACTGTCTTTTATGAGCCTATAGAAAAAGGTATCTAATAGACGTAGATCTTTTGTGCCTGAGTTTTTCACTTCTTATATTGTAATTTCCAGTGCCATTCTTTTAGAACATGATTTTTTTTTTTTTTGAGGAAGATTAGCCCTGCACTAACTACTGCCAATCCTCCTCTTTGTGCTGAGGAAGACTGGCCCTGAGCTAACATCCATGCCCATCTTCCTCTACTTCATATGTGGGATGCCTACCACAGCATGGCTTTTGCCAAATGGTGCCACGTCCGCACCTGGGATCCAAACCGGTGAACCTGGGCCACCGAGAAGCGGAATGTGTGTACTTAACCGCTATGCCACAGGCTGGGCCCTAGAACATGATTTTAATGGCAGATGAAAATATTTCAAAGTAGAAATTTTAAGGGAAACATATTATTCTCCATTTGCTACACTGTATATGCAGGTTTTTTTACTGGTAAATGATCTAGTACCTATTGTAAGTTTGTTTCTTAAAACCTGGATAAGTACCTGAATTAAGTACCCAGAGGGTTTCAATATTTTAACTTAACTGATGTGGATAATAAGAAACAACACAGATCCTTGTTGGAATGCTAGTTGTCTATTCAACTTTGAAGCATTTAAAAAATAGCAACAATTGGCTTTTTTTAAGTCACTACACAGTGTTGTATCTGAGACTGAGAGTTGCAGCAGATGGGGAAGGAGCTGGATGACCTCTTGAGGTCCCTCTTAGCTTTAGGATTCAGTAATTACGTGGAGGGAATTGTGAAGAGAACTTGAGTAAAAGAATAATTCTAAAGGAGGTCACTTTTTAGGTTAACAAGCTTTCCAGTGTCTTTTTAGAATGATAAAATTGTTTCTGAGCATGAAGTGAACAATCTTGAGTTATTTTAACATTATTTTTATTCTGAAAGAACCTCATTATACTTCTTTTAAAAGCTCTATGTCCTTGGTAGTTTCATAGAGTACTTTACCTGCTGCATTGTGGGTAGGGTGATTTTTTTCTCACAGTAGATTCTTGGCTTTTAGTAGAGATTCACATATTTGTAATTCATTCTGATTCTTTGTTGATTTTTCTTTGCTGTGTGAATATAAGCTTCTCTCTTTTTTATTTTAAGATTTTATTTTTTTCCTCTTTCTCTCCAAAGCCCCCCAGTACATAGTTGTATATTCTTCGTTGTGGGTCCTTCTAGTTGTGGCATGTGGGACGCTGCCTCAGCGTGGTTTGATGAGCAGTGCCATGTCCGCGCCCAGGATTCGAACCAACGAAACACTGGGCCGCCTGCAGCGGCTTGTGCGGACTTAACCACTCGGCCACGGGGCCAGCCCCATAAGCTTCTCTTTTTATGTCAATTTTGTTTACTTTCTCTGAGTCTTTTGATTTCAGTGTAGTGTGAAGTTCATGGAAATGTACAAGGGAAACAGATCTGAATGTTCATTGCAGAGGAGTTGCATGATATTAAATAACTTATCGAGAAAAGTGGTCATTTTTCACAGGGTATTTTATTGAGATTTCATGTGAATTCTTCCTGAACTTTTAAATGGTGTGATTTTTAAGTTTAATTTTGTGATAACTATAGCAGTTGAAAAACATGTAACACATTTAGGGACTGATTTTGAAAACTAAGAAAAGTCCGTCTCAAGGAAAATTTGGTTTATCCAAAGACTTTCAAACTCAAGAACAATTTTAGGAAGTAAGGAGTAACATCTGGAATGTTAAAAGGGCAAAATTCAAATTCTCTTGTTTTTCTACCATCAGTAAAAATTTTTTGGTGTAGTTCTGTCAGTACCTTTCAAGACTGGTACCAAAGTTCTAACTCCTTTCCCTCTGGCTGGTCAGGGCAGGAAAAGGAAAGTGCTAAACATGTATGTACTTTGATGCTAGAGCCTTTGCAATACTTACTGACCAGCAACTCTTGTAGCAAGACAGTATAGGTTGTACCTTTTGCAGCCTGCAGCGAGAGAGCAGAGGAGAAGCTTGTGGCAGCGACTGTTCTTTGTGTAAAAGTAGTAGTGTGTTCATTATGCTCTCTTGGTAGTTGCGCCATAGGTTATTGAGCCTTGGTGTGTATATTAGTTTCCTATTGTTGCTTTAACAAATTACCAGAGACTTAGTGGTTTAAAACAATGCAGATTTATCATCTTATGGTTCTGGAGGTCACAAGTATGAATTGGGTTTCACTGGGCTAAAATCAAGGTGAGGCTCTGGGGGAGAGTCTGTTCCCTTACCATTTCCAGCTTCTAGAAGCCACCTGCATTCCATGGCTTGTGATCCTTTCCTTCATCTTCAAAGCTAACAGTGTAGGGTCTTCCATTCTCAGACTCTGACCCCCCGTCTCTCTAAGTACCCTTGTGATTACATTGGCCCCACCTGGATAACTCAGATAATCTCCCCATTTTAAGACCCATTACTGGATGGTTCAACATCCACAAATCTATCAACATGATACACCACATTAACAAAATGAAGAATAAAAATCACATGATCATCTCAATAGATGCAGAGAAAGCATTTGACAAGATACAGCATCCATTTATGATAAAAACTCTAAATAAAATGGGTACAGAAGGAAAATACCTCAACATAATAAAGGTCATATATGACAAACCCACAGAAAATATCCTTCTCAATGGAGAAAAACTGAAAGCTATCCCTTTAAGAACAGGAACCAGACAAGGATGCCCACTGTCACCACTCTTATTTAACATAGTATTGGAAGTCCTAGCTAGAGCAATCAGGCAAGAAAAAGACATAAAAGGGATCCACATTGGAAAAGAAGAGGTGAAACTGTCACTCTTTGCAGGCAACATGATTTTATATATAGAAAACCCTAAAGAATCCACTAAAAAACTTTTAGAAAAGATAAATGAATACACTCAAGTCGCGGGATACAAAATCAACATACAAAAGTTGGTTGTATTTCTATACACTAACAACGAAGTAGCAGAAAGTGAAATTAAGAATACAATCCCATTGGGGACTGGCCCCGTGGCCGAGTGGTTAAGTTCACGCGCTCCACTGCAGGTGGCCTAGTGTTTCGTTGGTTTAAATCCTGGGTGTGGACATGGCACGGCTCATCAAGCCATGCTGAGGCAGCGTCCCACATGCCACAACTAGAAGGACCCACAACGAAGAACATACAACTAGTACTGGAGGGCTTTGGGGATAAAAAGGAAAAAAATAAAATCTTTAAAAAAAAAAAAAGAATACAATCCCCTTTACAAGTGCAACAAAAAGAATAAAATACTTAGGCATAAACTTAACCAAAGAAGTGAAAGATCTGTACACCGAAAACTATAAAACATTGTTGAAAGAAATCGAAGAAGACACAGAGAAATGGAAAGATATTCCGTGCTCTTGGATTGGAAGAATTAACGTCATTAAAATGTCCATACTTCCTAAAACATTCTATAGATTCAAAGCAATCCCTATCAAAGTTACAATGACATTTTTCACAGAAATAGAACAAAGAATCCTAAAATTTATATGGAGCAACAAAAGACCCTGAATAGCCAAAGGATTCCTGAGAAAAAAGAACAAAGCTGGAGGTATCACACTCCCTGATTTCAAAATATAC